AGTGATAACTCCCCTCTCCACATGTCAGACACTGTCAGAAATGGTATATGACTCTCCACCTCATGTGGTTAATATGTCCCTGTCACTCTACTTCACCAAAAAGGAGACAGGAACCCAAAATGCTCCAAGGCCACTCGATGAACTATCCTAATCTGAGGTCCTCATGAGTGTTTATTGACATTTTTTTTCCTTTTGATACTGAACTCAGGGCTTCATGCTTTTGAGGCAAGTATGCTATCATTTGAGCCATGTCCTTAGGACTTTGTTCTAAAGTTTGTTTTTCCAGTGGCATCCTATACTTTCTCCCTGGTTAGCCTTGGACTGAAATCCTCCCTCTACATCTCCAGCAGCTGGGATTACAGGCCTGTACAACCACACCCAGTGGGCATGGTTTTAAGCATTAGTTTGTTAGACAATGTGCCCAGATATGACACATGATCTTTCAACAGTCTCTGTCAATTATGTGGAGGGGGAAGTGAGTTTGTGGTGTTCTTAGCAGGTCCCTTCTGCTTCCGGATATGCAAATAACCATTGGTTTTGGCCAAACTATTTACATAGGAAAGTCACTTCCACAGAAAATATCTCCAGTGGCCCATGGAGATCTCACAGTGAGCAATCTATACACCACACACATGAATACTAGATACCTACTACATGCTGGTAACTCTTATGGGAACATGGATGCATTGGTGAGTAAAAGAGGCAGAGTCATTGTACTAGACTCTACTAGGGAAAATGACAGGAATCAGTACACATTACCACCACCACCACAAAATAAGGATAAGTGTAGTAAAGAAGAATTCACAGCTAGGTAAAGGGCTCAGAGAATCCACATGAGAAATGCACAAAACCAGAAGTATTTGAGTGGTCATCACTGAGGGGAAAATCTGAGTAAAATTTAGAGCAGGTGTCGGGTAAAGGTTCTGGCTGCCTGGGGGAGGGGCTTCCTGATGGGGCACAGGCATGTAATGCCCAGAGAATCATTTTGGCTTTCACACTTCACGTGGTCTGGAACATGAAATTGTATAAACTGAGATGAAGTACTGGTTTGGATTTTGTTGTTGTTTGTTGTTGTTTTTTTCTTTGTACTGGTCCTAGGCTAGAACTCAGGACCTGTGAGTTGTTCCTGAACTTTTGTGCTCAAGGCTTTAGCATCTGAGTAACCGCTCCAATGGAGAAAGATGAGACAGTGTGAGTGACTTTCCCATCATAGGTCAGATGAGGCCTGCTGCCTCCAGCAAGCACTTCTGCTTGGTGGCCAAGGCCTCTTTCAGGCCACAACCCTAAGGACTCACTGTGTGCCAGGCTATACAAGAAATTCATGGGAAGCAGCAAGTGGCCCAGGCAGAGGATTATTCTAGTGCTTGATTGAACACAGACCATCACAGGACAGACAGAAGTCACCAGAGCATGCAGAAGGAGGAGGAGACAGCCAGTGCCTGTATCCACACACAAAGGATGGTTTTGCAAAGGACAACAGCAAGTAGAGCAAGGAGAAAGAGCTCATGTTATTTGGGTACATGTTGAAGAGGAACACTCATAGAGGTGGAAGAAACTCCAGGGTTTGGTTGGGTGTGTTGTACCCATGTATGGACATGCTATGATGAAACCCCTTTTGTACACTTAATGTGTACAGATATTAAATGTTTTAGAACTACACTGTACACAAAAGTTGCCATGTCAGGATTTCAAGTCAATGACATCGACCACACTCACTGTATTGTATAACCATCACACCCATTTCCCATTTCTGAAACAATATCCAAACTGAGTTCTGCACACATATGTATCAACTTCCCCTCAGGCCTGCTAGCTTCTGCACATTATGTCTTTGTGAATTTGTCTGTGTGAGATGGAACCAGACCTTTGCCTTTGTCTTGGTAATAGTGATTCTAAGAGATGGGAATGGCTTCTTATTGTCATGAATTTTCCCAGCAAGTAGATTTGTCTAGCCTCTTTCCATGTGTTCATTGACTGCTCTATAGAAAAACATTTGTTGCTATGCTTTGTTCTTTTAGAAGTGAATTGTGAGTTATTTTGTCATTCAGTTGTAGGAATTCTTTATATATTCTTGGTAGCAGTCACTGTTGACATAGATATTTGGCAAATATTTTCTCCTTTTCTATTCTCTCATCTGTTTTTAAGCACAACATATGA